CCGATAACAATTTCCAACTCTTCACATTTTTGGTAGTCGCTTACACGAGGTTTGACTGTTATTTTTTCCCTTTCTACTAGCATTAACATATCTGATGACAGGCGCGTTGTGACAATGAGAGAAGGACAGGATCTTGCAGCATCTCTTGGTATTGCATATGCAGAATGCAGTTCTCTGTTAAATGACGGTGTTCATCAAGCTCTCAACACTGCTGTTGAGTTGACCTTTTTGCCCCAAAGACAAGTTAATTCAAGGAAAGGATTTTTTAAGAGTATAAGAAGAAAATCCAAATCAGCAAATGAACAAGATTCAGTTCCTCCTGTTCTTCCTCCTGCAGGTACTGTTAATCCTGGGAGAGGCGGGGAGGGGGAAGTACTCTGAAATGAAGGTCATGGGGAGGTGCAAAGGAGATTTTCGGCTTGTAATTCACAATTTTATGGTTCTAATTGTGGTAACAATATATAATAATTGTTTTTTTGTCCAACAAAAGGGAGTCATTGGCCAACAATGTCGAGCCCATTTGCATGGGGCTTAATGCTGAATTTTTGTTTTTTGCAAACACTGTAATTTTTATTATTTTCATAAAGGCGTGTAGTTTTAAGCAGACACCTTTTTAATTTGTTAGTTTTAATATGTCTAACTAGTGAAATTTATACATGCATAGAATACTGCAGGTGTCTATAGTGGAGTAAATTTTTATTACATATTGTTTTCGTAGGTTTTGCACCACATGTTGAAGTACTTACTTCCTCATTTGCAAGTGAGTGGCACACTATGATGTCTGACAGTAGCACAGCAGATGTCACATTTATTTTTTCTGATGGCCAAACAGTGGAAGCACATAAAACTGTTCTAACTGCTGCATCCTCCATTTTCAAGAATATTTTTCTGGGTAAAGTGACTCCAAGTCATGAAACATATGGTGAAATAATTGAGGAAATTTCTTGGGTTTGTAACAAAGAAAACAGCTGTCCAAATCTTATCCACATGAAAGAGCATTGCCAGGGTGTAGGGAAGACAGTTATAAGGTTGCATGAGAGTATTTTAAAGGGTGTTTTTATGGAGCTATTGACATTCCTTTACACTGGATCACCAGACATTTCTGAAGATGAAGACATAAACTTTGTGAAAGAAATCCAGTCTCTAGCTAATAAATTTCAGTTGAACTGGTTGGCAGAGTACTGCTCAAATATTCTCAAAGGGGAATCATACTTGAATCCAAGTATTGGCACGTGGCTTAATGACAACACAGGAAATGCTGCCAAGAAGCTGTTTCTCAATAAGTCATTACAAGCTGATGTCAAGTTCCGTGTTGAAGGCAGTGTGGTTTATGGACACAGAGTTATTTTGAAAGCAAGATCAGAGGTCATGGCAGCCATGTTGGGTGGAGCATTCATGGAGAGTGATTTAGACTCAGAGGTAATCATATTAATACACAAATTATGTGGGAGTAATACTTTGGGCCATGTTGTCCTTGTAAACACCCTAGGAGCAAGCTGCAATAATTTATAATAAATAGGGGTGGATCAAGGAGTTTTTGATTGGGGGGTCCAAACTTTGGATCAGAAAAGACTGTTGAACTTTTTTTGTGTCAAATTACTTCTCCCCCACATCCCCTCTCACCAGTCGTGGTTGCAGGTTATAGTATTCCTTGGCCACTTACTGTGTACTTGAATTCTTCTTGAAAAGGATGCACCCTCGGAACATCCTCCTCTTGTGCTTAGTAACAAAGATTGAGTGGAGCATAGGTGAACAGATCATAGGAGGGTACCCAAAAACATTATTACATCTTTGAATATCCCTGGAATTTATTTTAAGTGTGCAAAATGCAATGTCCATTTCATTAAAAAAATCAGCCAGTTAAAAAAGCCATCAGGTGTGATAGGGAGTCCAGACCCCCCGAACCCTCCTCCTGGATCCACCACTGATAAAGAGAAGCTTTATATGTGAAAGTCATTTCTGTAATTATATAGATTGATATAATCTATGAAATGCAACATCTTATTAAACATGCCAATCGTTAGAAGAGGAGTAGTGCTTATAAGAGTTCTGACAAAATTTGTTAGAACTCTCGTAATTAAGCACGCCAGTTATCAGAGGTTGTGTTGATGGGTTGGAATAGTTGGTCTGTGGAACTGCAAGTTTACTGAAGATGTAATACACTGCACAATGACAATATTAAATTGGACATTCCTTTTACAGATCAAAATTGGGGACACATCCCTCCAAAGTTTCTTGGCCTTACTGGAATATCTTTACACTGACCATGCCCCGATAGAAGAGGGTGATTCTGTGGAAATAATGGTTTTAGCTGACAGATTCTGTCTGCCAAGGCTGGTGACTTTATGTGAGCTTTACATCACTAAAAAAGTGGATGCCACAATACAAAAGAGGGTGGCTGATGGCACGAGCGATGTCATAAACCTCCTACTTACATCTCAGGTAAGATCAGCTTTCCTTTACTTAAAACATTTATTTTAGAAGATAGGCTTATAAGTGGCTTACTCTACTTTACAGACATGTGCCCCAAACGTACTTTACATATTAAGGTGCACTGATACTTGCCAGATGAACAAGCTACTTAAGGCTATTTGCTCTTCAGCTGGACTTTCTGAAATGCCCTTGATATTTATTTACCATTACAGCAACCCGTTCATGTATGAACCCCTTATCATTGTTATCAATCTTATGATTCAGCAATTAGTTTGATTTCCATTTCAAAGAAGTTTGAAAACAAGTCTATCTTCACCCTTGGAATTGGTGTGTGTATGTGACAGTGTAGGGAGAGGGGGGGGGGGGGGAGGAGAAGGGGGGGCTAGTCCAAAAAAAATTATCCTTTCGGGGGACCTGTAATTGTCACCCCAGTTTAAGACATGTGACTTCCTCTCCCTCTCCCTCCGGTACAAAAAAAAATTTACCAACCCCTTGTTAGCCGTGGTGGTGTTGGGGGTGTTGGTGTTGCGGCGGTGTGTTCTTCTTGTGTTTTGTTTTTCATTTAAAAAAATTTTAAAAAACAGTTCTTTTTGCCCCGTGGGGATGGGTGTGTGTGGGGGAGGGGGGGGGGGGGGGGGGGGGGGGGGAAGAGAAGGTGTGGCTAGTCCATAAAAAATTATCCTTTCAGGGGAACTGTAACTGTCACTCCAGTTTAAGACATGTGACATCCTCTCTCTCTGCATGCCGTACAAAAACAAAATTACCCAACCCTTGGTTCAGGTCCAGTTAACACATTAAGGACAAGAATATTACATAATGGCATCATTTTACTACAACTGCCAGTCAGAATTCTTCATTTTGTTGTTAATTCTTGACATGTAAATTTGTGCCAGTGCTTTTTAAACCTCATAGGGATTGACAGATAATTTTAAATAAGAAAGCAAGAACAAAATAATTCTGGTAGGATTGTTGTGCTTCATACCAGGCCAATATAGAAGGATTTGAATGGAATCATCAGTTCATTTGGGGCTGATATCCCAACACCAATTATTATATAATTGTGAAATGTAGATAATTGTAAGTATGTCTGTTATTGCGGTTGTTTAGAATATTGTAATTAGTTTCTTTTTAATTAGTTCTTTGTAATTAAAGTAATAAATGTCTTGAATAAAAAAAAAAATTATTATTTGAAACAACTTACTGATTTTTGACAATGAGGCCTTTTAAATCTTGCTTAGTAGCCTCTAGCCTGCGAACGACAGACGTGTCTCCTCGCTCATCGCCGCTGACGGACGTTTCACGAGGAGAAACGTCTGCGACTCAGTGACAGAAATTCCATACTGATGACGTAAATCAATGTTTACATAATAAATTCGGTAGTCATGGGGTTCCAAATGCAAATTTGTTTAATTTTACGTTTCTCCTGGTCGATTTTGGTAAAGTGTTGTGTTTGTCTTCGAATGAGCTCCAGCAAAACTCAAATGCTTCTTTGAGAGAAGACTATATTCCACAAATATTGGCTGTTTTGTTAGAGATTCATCGCGTTTACATTTGACCTTTGCGGCCTTTTGTCTTTGTCTGTCATTCGTAAACAATAGCTAAAATAATGAAACTGCTCTGTCGACCAATTAGTGCTTCTGACCGGATTCTGGACAGATTTTGCGTCATCAGTATGGAATTTCTGTCGCCGAGTCGCAGACATTCCTCTGCGTGAAACGTCCCTCAGCGGCGATGAGCGAGGAAAAACGTCTGCCGTTCGCAGGCTAAGTAGCCTCAGAATATGTTGAAACAATTCCCATAATTTCACAAATTCTAATATAATTCAGTATGACATCATTTTTACTATATTGCTGTTTCAGTACTTATTAAGCATTAGTGGCACGGCATTTGAACTGACCTAAGTGTACATTGAGCATAATTTCAGTGTATGCAAACTAAATGACTGTGATTTGTTGTTTCAGGCTCACAATGCAAAGCAGTTATCCAGATGGTGTCTCCATTTTATTGCTACAAATTTCTCAGTGTTTGAGTCAACTGAAGAATTTGATCTTGTACAAGGAGATAACAGAGACTATGTCACTGAACATCGGTGGCCACCATTATCCTATCTAAAAGCACAAGAAGAATTTGAGAAGAAAGTCAAGTCTTCTTCTAAGTTCAACTCTTCAAAGTGCAATGTAATGTGAAATGATTAGACATAAGTTGATCAAGTTTATAGTACACCTCCCTGTGAAGGAATTATGATTCACATTAATTTTAAAAAAATGCTGTTTCTGAAAATAGCCATACATTTTTACAGTTTCAATCCAAGTCCATCTGCACCATCCATAGCAACAGAAAACGGGAGACAGTTTCCATGGCCTAAATACAATCTTAAATAACAAAACTAGACCGTTATTTTTGGAATTCAGTTGATGTGAAGACATATTTTAGCTTTTTGAAAAGATAGTAAATTATAGCATAACATAGCTCCTTTAAGAAATAAAAATATTTTGTAGTTGAGCTCCTGTTGTGTTACTATTCAAGTCTCACCTTGGCTACTCACTCAGTGAAAAGCGAAAATGCAATTCTATAAGCAGCATATTTGACAAACAGCAATGGCAACAAAAACATCAGAATTTAAGCAATGTATGTTTCAGGATGTTTCTTAATCTTAAGAGCTGGAAATTGAAGATGAGTTTAAGAAGGTAATACTGGTCATTATTTAAAGAAATGAAATTTTCACCTGTCAAATTTTAATTGAAAATTTGATTTTAGACAAAAATATGGTCTCTAAACCTGTTACTGCTATGACAGCTTACAACAGTACTGAGTTATTGAGCAATATCCTATTTAACAGAATGAAGCATCATTGCCATGAACAGTTCTAAATCTAATTTCTCAAGCAATCGGACATTGCTATCTTTTTTCAGTAAACCATACCAATCAACAACCATTTGTCCACGTGTGAAACCTCCCTTGAGCTCTACTGTTGCATAGACAAGCTTTTCTTTCAGGACAATTTGGGGCTGAAGTGCTGCACAAATTGGAAAGGGATCACATGTAATAAAAGGACCATCGCCTTCATATTCTTTAATTTTTGATGAAATCTTTTTCATGAACTCAGCTTTTTTGGTACCTGTCCCTACATAACGATCATAGAACTCCCATTCCAATACATGATCCAAACATGCTTCCCAAGACATCAGGGAAACCGGGCAGTTATTCTTCTCGTTAAGCACAATATATGCAGCTTCTGGATCAGCACCAAAGTTAAACTCTGCTGATACCCAGTGATTTCCTTTGCCATAGACACACCCTCCCATCAAATAGATCTCCTTGACTTTTGTAAAGAATCCAGCATCCATATTAGAGGCTAAAGCAATGTTGGATAAAGGACCCAGAGCAATTATCACTACCTCACCAGGGTTTTGATTTACAAGTTGAAGTAAAGCTTGAACTGCATGTGTCTCCTTCAGGAGATTCATATCTGGGTCCTTAAGATCAGGCATATCTCCTAACCCATCTTTGCCATGATATTCTGGTTTGTCAAAACTGGTTCCTGTGTGATAAATTAATGAGAAATATAAATAGAAAAGTTTTTAAGACTGACACTTTCCTTTTCAATAAATGAAATACAATGGAATCCCAAATTTCTTGAAGCCTCAGTTTCTCAAACCTCCCAATACAATATAATTCACACAAAAACTGACTTCTCTTTTTAAGTCAAACAAAGCAATCTTACTTTACCAGTCATTTTTGTAACCTTATGATAATCCACACCAGGAGGACAAAATATCCAGATTCCATTGTAACTGAAAAGAACAGAAGAGTATGCCTATCACCTGGGGGGGGGGGTACTCCCTATAACAGCCTACACAGGGAGGCTCCACCTGAAATTTAGGCTTCAGGTACAAATGCCTGGGGTTTGTTGCTAACTCTTTGGTGACCTGGGACCCAGAAGGAGGCCTTCCAAGGGGTAGAAGCAACAGATGACATGGCCCCCAAAACTGGTGACAATCCTCTCAGAAAGCACTGACTAGCGATAGAAAAGGAGGAAAGAAATGTGACAGTGACAATCCATTTTTTAAGCAGTGAAGTTACATCTGTTCACTTATGGCCAAATTCCTTGTATTGCGCTGCACGTTTGCAAACTTTGAATGGGGTTTTCTGTTCCATCAATCATTTGAGTAGGGGCAGGGTAAATGCAAATCACAATGCAATGCAATCATCCAGCTAGAAAACTGAGAATGACTCAAGACTGTTCAAGAATATTATAGCAAAGGAAATCGCAATGATGAATCGTTTTTTTTGTCAAGGACAGGAGGCAGACATTGCTTTATTCTTGCAACACAGAAACAAACAAAGTGGATTGAAATGCACCAATCACAAGTAAACATGTGTTTCCTAAGAGGTCCGCTAAGATGATTGACGGAACAGAAGAACCCAAAATTCCTTCGAAGTTCGCAAAACACGCAGCGCGATACAACGAATTTGGCTATAAATATTTTGGCTGTCAACAAAAACAAAGAGAGTCAAAAAACTGTCTTCCGTTATTACCAGCATTTTCTCTCATTTTCATTGGAACGTTTTCTAATTATGGTATTTTTCAAGAAAGGTCCCTCAGGGGTTAAGATTATAATAGCAAATTATTAATCTTCTGTAAATCACAAAAATTTATGCTAAACTAACAAGGACACTTTCATTCTAGCTAAAATGCGACAGCGATGTCGTTTCCTGACCTACCAGGTGACAGGCAGTCTCAGAAATGACCAACACAGCGACAGCATAACCCCCTCCCCGCCTTCAAGGCCTTAAGGAGTTGATCTTCGTGGGCTCCAGTCACTTCTACCACTTTCCCCCCACATCTTGACACCCCTGGACACCCCTGGACGGGTACCCCACTTATTTTCCAACTTTCAGCCTTAAAGTCTAACGTTTTAACATCATTTTTCATAGAAAAGGTATGCTGCTTAGCAGGGCATTAGCTTACCAAGTATGGGGCGATGTGCGCCCTTGTAGACCGGTATGTCAGTACGACCACAAGCTTCCAGTGTTTTGAGGACATTTTTGCACACCTGATCAACATCTACATTTCCAGAGGTGCAAGTGATGCCCAAAATATCCACTTCCTGAGTTAACGCGATCATTATAGCTTGAGCATCGTCGATTCCGGCGTCACAATCAATGATTATTTTGCGTTTCGAGGTGGCCATGCTATCGCGTTTTCACCTTTTCAATTCCCTCCTCCAAGCTCGCGTGAAGACTGGAAATTAGATAGCAGTAAATGTATGTCAGGGAGGGTAGACACGGGGACAACTTATTCTAAAAAAATGTGTTTGAAACTGTAAGAGAATATTGAATTTCTGAAGCGAATTTCTTCGTTTAGGTCATAATTCTTCAATTGTGGAAATTTAGTGACCCGAATATGGTACACGGTGAAAAATTTGCAAACGCAATAAAAGTTTTCAGTGGTGTGGGGTAAGAAAGTATGCACGTGCTAATCTAAGATGGCCGCCACCAGTTGAGCTTTGCCGCGAGAGACAGAATTACAGAATATTTGCAATGTTTTACCGTTTTTTAAATGGACGAATTGGGCTTCGTTTGCGAGTTGCAGTCGTAGCAGGGCTCCGCAAAAGAATTTTGCTTAACCAAATTCCGCAAAGATACAACAGAGGCTGTTTATATTCTACTTCAGCTGAACCTGCAAGGCAAACAGAAACAACCGAAGACGAAGATGAACCGAAATCGTGGAGAGAGAACCCACATTTGAAGTATTGGATTCTTGGTACTCTTGGCATATCTGGCACAATTTATTACTACGTTCGTAAGAATCACGAAACGAAACGAGTGATAGTCAAGTCTTTCCCCCCTGTCCCCACTCACTATGCACATCCACGTGAAAGAGAGCTTTCAGATCTTTTATCTCTCCATAATCAACTCAAAAAGGGCGGAACACCGACTGTTTTAAATATTGTTGGCAGCCCAGGCTCTGGTAAAACCCAGCTAGCTCGGTTATTTGCAGAGAAACTTTTCGAAGATGAAGAGAAAAGCTTTCACTTTCTTCCAGGAAACCTTTTGTATGGAACAGTTAATGCTTCGTCTCTAGATAGCTTTCTTTTTGACATTAAAAGATTTGCAATTTCTGTTGGCTGCCTTGAGAGTGACTGGACTTCAAAAGCAGGAGAAGGGGTGCAGTTCAATAGTTTGTCCAAAATTAAGCAGTTAGATTGCTTTGTAGAAGCAGTAAGAGAAAAACTTCACAATAGCCAAGCATGGATCCTCATTTTGGAGAATTTAAAGGACACTGATATTTTGAATCAATGGTTTTCTAGTGATTCAAGGAAAATTTGGGGAAATGGAACTATCCTTGTTGCTAGGGAAATGAATGCCAGAAGAGACTCGTTGGTTAACAATACCTACAATGTTGATGAAGGGTAAGTAAAAGACCATGGTACTAGTAATAATATCCTTCCATAGGACACAACCTGACAGAACTGTATCACCCTTAGCGATGTCAGTATATTGATATTATGGGAGAAGGTTAAGTATAAACACTCTCTGAGATCTGCATAATTCTTCAGATTATACGTAAGCCAAATCCAGTAATATCTATTAGTAAAATCCAACTAGTGGTCTATCATCAATGCTGTGCTTTGATTGGTTGAGCTACTACTAGGCTATATGTTATAGCCCACTAGTAGCAAAAAGTGTGGGCTTCTTGGCGACAAAAAAGGATTGAAGTCTACCTTTTACCTAGCTAGAATTTTTTTATTCTTGATATTTTTGACCAACTAGTTGGATTTTACTAAAACAATAATTTTTATTATTATTCCTCTCGCCCTCAGGGCCTCTGAGTCAATTGACTCAGAGCCCATTCGGGCTCGAGGAATAATTGTTAATTATTCATTCAAAATCATTCTTAGTTTAAAAACAAGCTAAAACATGCTTACTTCGATCTATGTTAAGTTTCCATCGTCATTTGCTTGTTTCTCGGCAAGTTCAGGTCATAAAAGGATGTTTAGTTTAGCACATACTTTTCAAATAGCATGCGTCATCTGTCATGTTGTATTCTTGCAGTTCTTGCTATTTTTTAAGGCAGCAGTTCGGCCTTGTCTTTGTCATGAAATAAGCTAATTCTTCCGCCATTTTCTACTGCTCTAAAAGCGATCTTTCATACATCTCATGATCTGTCCATGTTTCTTTTTGTAAGCCATAGTTCTCCATTGTTTGCTGGTCAGAGTTTATTTTTGGTGTTGTTTCTTTGGAAGGATTTCTATCAAGGTCCAAAAAAAAGTATCTTTACTTCCAACTTACTTTCATGAAGTTTTAATTTTTGAGCCAGTAAGGTCATTTCTATCATTCTTGTACATGCAGTAATGCGTGACCTTTGGAGCCGAAGGGACTGGGGTCGATACCTGTTATCTCCCATTCAATTAAAACATTCAATTAAAATGTCAAAAAAATGCATAACTTTGAAACAACTAGCATTTTTAAAATTCCATTTTATGGTAATTTTGTTATGACATTCGCTTGCTTAATTTTTGCAAGAAATTACAATAGTTCCAGGAGAGTATTTTTGAAAGTTTTAACTTTGCCTGTGGCCTCCAAACCAGCCTTATGTGCTATAAAGCACTTATAGCACATAACAAATGGTGACAAAAAGGGCACATGCTGATTAGAAGTTGCTACACAACATGACTGCCTTGAAGAACGATTTTGTTTTGTAAGCACATGGCTTTTGTGTAGACTATTCATCGCCAGTAAGTTCATGTCCTCTCAGAGGACTATTTTTAAAATTTGAAGGTACCGTTTAAAGGCAATCGGATGTGCAAATTTCATATCTTCTTAGAATAATACTAACAAGTTACTGTTTATGTCAACTTGTTAGATTACATTCTATTCAAACCTCACAGTTTTTTTTAAATTTTGGTTTCTTCTAGAATGGGTGCTGATGATGGAGTGATACTTCTATCTAAGTTAAGTGGGTTTGATGAAGAGAAAATGACAGCGGGAACAGATGTTGTTAAACTACTGAATGGTAACCCTCTAGCTCTTACAAGTGCTGGCCATTACATGCGATCAAAAGCTGCTAGAAACCCTGATTACTCCTGTGCAGACTTTCTAAATGAGGTACAACACAATTTGCAGAAGTTTGTAAGTGCAAAGTCTAATTCGGAGTTGGACGTCTTGCGTGTAGTCGTTGCCATGGAAACCAAAAATCTTGTCCAAGAAAATCCCCATCTTCTCCACACTTTTGACTTTCTTGGCACATGCAACCCTGATTGGCCAGTTCCATTGACACTAATTGCACTGCATTTAAGGACGCCTGATTTTAGCCTTCCTCCAGTGACTGGAAGTGGACCTGTGCTGCCAAGCCAACAGCAGTCCAGCGATGCTGAAAAGGAAGACAGTACAGGAGAAGCAGAAGAGATGTTTTTGTCCATCAAGAGGCTCGCTAAGAATTTAGAGTCCTTTATGACTGCAGTGAAAAATAATATAGAGGCTATCAAGGCAATGCTCAATCCTGAGCTTCCAGATATGCCTCAGATGTCTGATGGGGTGGTTGAGATGTTAAAGGCATGTCCATTGCTGTCTGTGGTGAAAATAGAAAACATGGGTAAGGTTAAGAATACCCATTTAAAAAAATATGTTAGTGTAAATTCCATATAGACTGGAAGATAGCTTTTTTGTATTGCTTGTGGCTGCTGGAGAACTTCTTGCATAAGGGATAACAGTGTACTATATTGACAAACCTTTTCATGCCACTTTTCTTTTGGATGCTTATGTTTTCAATTTCTCAAAGAAAAACAATGGACCATATAAATCACTTAAGGTTTAGGGTAACATCATAAGACTATATTGTGACTATGCAAGATTCTCAGACTCCCGAAACAGATAAGGCCTCTTGGCGAGTACCTGTTCATTTGAGACTTGGACGCACCGGTCAGCTCTTAGCCATTTTTTCCCTGTCCTTAGTAACAGTTCCAGAAATCTCTGTTTAAGTTAACTTCGCCTGAGTATTTTCCCTCTTTTCTTCTAAAGTAGAGAATTAGCCATTAATTTCTCATTTGAAGGTAAAAGTACTATGGAATACAGATGCAGATGCAATCAAAGCCAAGAGGAATAAGTGACATAAAGATAAAAGAAAAGTAATATTGCCATAATTTTGAAATAAGGTATATTTGCCTTCACGTAGCATGGGATGGGGAGCACTGCGTGACTCTGGCCCAGAGCAGCTGCTAAGGAGACTAGTCTCAGCCCTCAGACTATTTGTTAAGTTTCTAAACAGCGATTTTGTTGGTTTTTGCTAGGTGTGGAGACAGTGGTGATTAGTCCTCTGGTGCATTCAGTCTTTCAGCAACTCTTCTTGTCCAGGACAATGTACCTTCTTGAAGCTAAATACCTGAAACAAGCAGAAGACAAGCATAACTCAAGCTCGTGGTTTCGCCGCTTGTGGAGTTTTGACGCCCAGAGGACCATCCAAGAATACCGCAATTCCCTCGGAGAAGTGTCACGCAATCTGCCTGTCACCCAACCAGACCACGCCCCTGATCAAGTAGCCCTCCCACCCTTCTCAGGGCCAGATGTCAGCCAGTTGCTGGCAGATAATGAGGTGAAGGGAAAAGAAGAATACAGAAAAATTAAGCCTCAAGACGCAGTTCGCCACTGTCAACAACACACAGCGCGTATTCTGAAAACAGTCAATGGCGTAGCTTCTGTATGTGGGCAGGACAATCAAACACGCACACTCGCCCGACTCCTCAGGCCTCATCTTGATCACATCTTAGCCGCTGGAACATCGAAGAGCCTGGGTCCTAGGAGTCGCGCCCATACAATTTCGGCTGTAGCATCCATAGACGCTTCTTTCGGAAATCTGGAGTCCAGTCGAGGATTACTGGAAGAGGTGCTGAGAATTGAAACCGAGCTGTATGGTGAATCGAGTCTGGAGGTGGCGTCCACTCTGACGCGCTTAGCTGACATTTACAGCTCATTAGACGATCTAGCGAGGTGTCGAGAGCTTCTAGAAAGGGCACTTCACATTTACGAAGCTCAACGAAAGAAATTTGGTGAATACAAACAGCCGCTTGATTATGCCCGCACTCTTTCTGCCTTGGGTGCTACATACGGGAACTTAGGCTTTAAGGAGAGAAGTCGCGACTACATTGAACGAGCCTTCTCGTTTATGCAGTCAGCGGCACCTACCAACCCAGATGAAGTAGAAACCCGCAGATTCACAAGCGATGTGGCCAGCACGCTCACTGATCTAGGGCATGCGTACCTTTCTCTCGGCGAAACCATGCCGGCGCGGCGATTTCTGGACATGGCTTTAAACGGACATAAGACCATTCATGGTGATGAACACCCGGAGGTTGTGAGAACTCTAACAGTTCTTGGTATTGCTTACACCATGCAGGGAAATTGGCCCGAGGCCAGGAAAATGAGGAAAGAGGCTGGCAAGCTTCAGGCGAAGCTTGATGCAAAACCTTCGATATAGAATAATAAGAAAACAAGGTGAATTTGCAAGCAAGGGACATGGAACAGACTCCGAAAGAAAACTGCTTCACAGCTATGTACGCCTGTTGTCACAGTCACGTAGCTTGCGTTTATTCCAGATATTCGCGTTTTCCTTATCTGTACATTCAAAATAGTGAAATACTAACGAATATCAGACGGTGACGGTATGCTGCGCTCGCCACTTAAATATCTGAACGACAGTTATGACTTGTTAATTTTTCTCTGTCGTTTGGAAGGTTCTTGATCTTGTCATAAGAAATTCCTTTCTTAAAATTATTAAACCGAATATGTTTGCAACGGAAACGTTACATCCTTGACACACAGTCAACAATAATATTAAATCAATTTAACTCGTGAAAGATCATTGCAGTCATTTACGCAACTGGGAGTTGTGTGAAGATGTTGCGAAAAGAAAGCCTGCAAAAAAATTGAGGCTTAAACGGGATTCAAACCCATGACATGTGCGATGGTCACAGGTTCTCCGTTAAACCTGATTTTTTCCCTTGGTATTCATTAGAACAATCCGCTTTGGCTTCGCTAGATCGCCTCCTATTTTCGAGTCATTTAGCGGGTTCCAAATATAATATTCCTCATTATAAAATAGAGGGGCAAAGTAACCTGGGCGAAATTACCAAGAGTCGAACCGAATTCCAATTCTGTCACAGAACCAATAAAACTCCGTAAATCTGAAAATCTGATAGGGAGAAAAAATTGTTGAGTATGCCTTTCTAATGCGCGAAATTGTAAAGGTAATTTCGGCTTCGATTTCTAAATGGTCAGCTGTGCACAGATTTAAAGCAAAACGATTTGACACCTTAAGCAGTTTTCTCAAGGATAGTAAATATTGTCGTCTTGTTATTTGTGTTAACGGCAAATGACACCTATGATAAATCTGAGGATCATCCCCATCACTTGGAATCCGGAGTACCCCCCCCCCCCCCCCCCCCCCCCCGCCCCCTAAGAAGACGCAAAAAAAAAAAAAAAACACGGAGCCGACAAAAAACAAAAAATAAAAAAGAAAAAACCACACACGGTCAGACTTTTTTTTTTTTTTTTTCTCTAGTTTCGCACGTACATATGATATTTTTTCTTTTTCCCCATCCCCCTGTCTTTTAGCAAAAAAAAATGTTCACCGGGATGCTTGCAAAGCCTTAAAAGTTAACTTGAGACAACGTCAGCTTTGACGCTATTTTTTTTTTACTCTCCCGGATTTAGCCAAGTTCAATGATCTTTCCCTTTTCACCCTGACTTCCAGAACTTTGGCCACCTTACCACGTTTTTGCTGATTCAAGCTGGGCCTGACCCTTTGAAGATTCTTTTTAGCTTAGCGTAGATATTTAGAGTATTTTGGTGGAACCTTGTATTTCAGTAAAAATATATCTAGATGCTTTGTACAAAGTACTAGAGAGAGGGTCAAGAGTGGAGACGCACTAATTGGCTGTGCTGCTATGACTACTCGAGACTACTGTAGTGTGGGGTGTAGAGGGAAGGCGCCTAACTTGCAGGATGGGCTCCAGGCCCGGTATGAACAAATAATCCAAATCAAACAACAGTATTGAAATATTGAGAAATACCTTAGTCAACTTTGTTCGATGGTAACTTTTCGTTATTGTAAGTAAAACATCAGCTGTATCTTTCAAGTGGTGGCAAAAATGACAGCTCAAAATATCCTGGACATCCACCACTATTCAAGAGAAAGGCAGAGCTCTGAGGGAAAGCCAGGACTGAAGTCTAGTTACCTTTGTAACAGTTTGAAATTCCATTTGAAAACCTTTTTGACTCTCTGATGAAATTTTTTATGTTCATTGAGGTAGTTCATTCTCTCTTGATGCTCAACAACAATGGCGGGTAATGAGCCAATGGCCAGCTGAATGGCTAACTGCGGTTGATTGTTAATACAGTATCCCCATTTTTGTCACGCCAACAAAACCGAAACGTTTCATGGAACTTCCTTTATAAAATCTGACTCGTGCCAATTTGAACACGGAGGCCCTGGCTTGAATCACAGGTAGAAGTGTCTGCGACGATGATTGTTTTTGTTTGTTTGTTTGTTTTTTCTAACCTTACGCCAATGAATTATATGATGGCTTGACATGAAGTACTTACCCAAAAGGTACTCCCGGAAGTTGTCTCTTTTGGGTGTTAGCCCGCCTTTTGTCCATATTTGGGATGAACCTAATCGAACGCATTTCCGGTGATTGCATTCGCTCCAGACAAAATAGCTCAAAATAGAGAGCAGCTTGAACGATGTCGAGCGGAATTAGAACTGCTCGTAAAATCCGATACATAAATTTACTAGTGAACAATGCAACGAGAAAATAAGTCCGATGACTGGGTCAAGGTCGTATTGCGGAGGTTCCGAGCTCAGGTAGGTTTGCGTGTTCTAAGTATGTCGGCGGTTTTTACGACGTAATCAGCTACAAGTAGCAAGCAAGCCGACTACCAAGGCACCACATGGGAATTACAATCTTGATTTTTAAAATTCTTAGCCTAGTAAGACATTCTTGTTGAAAGACCAAGTGTTTTTCAGTGGTAAAGTGATGATATGTATTGCATTCGTTCTAAAAATGTCTCCTGTCCTCTAGGAATTAACCCATATGCTGTTTTTCAAGGTCTACAAGGTTATGCATTTGATTGCACGGTGGAATTTTTTACACTAGAGTAATTTTTGCCTATTGTTTGCATGAAATGAATAAAATGAGGTTTATATATTCTAGTATATTAAATTTGTGGGTAAAGATATAACTCTTTGGGTGGAAAACGTTTTAACTTGAACGATAAGATATTAAAATCTAGTCAAGCAGATGGCTGTTTCGATAATATTTGTTTGAGGCATCGATCAGGCCGGAGCACAGTTTGTTACCAATTATTTATGCTTATCCAGCAATTTACTTAACCTTATTTTTATTGTGAAAGAGAAATGCGATTCTTCTGTTAATGACCATGTCCGAGTTGTTTTATTGTCGAGATTTTCTTATGATTTCTTCCCCGTGTATCATTTCGAACATGTTGTCAGAAATGGATAAAGAGATTTTTTTTCCCGCCTTTATTCTCGTGTCATTCCATTCGAGTCTTTAGGTTATGTTTTAGGAAACAAAAAATCAGAGAGGGCTATCATGTTAACTTTGCTTTGGTGACAGAAAACTCAACAGAAGATAACAAAAGTTTTGATAGATGAAAGTATATGACAAGAAATTTTGTTGTACTATTTAAAGTCCTGATTTCAATCATATGACAATGCCAGTAGGGGGTTGGGGTTAGAACTCTTAGCAAGTTTGTTTACCCATATAATGTGGGTAAAGGGGTTTATTTGAAAAAAGAAAACTGCAGTGTTGCATCAGAGCAGAAGTAAAGTGAGAACTACAGGGTGCAAAGAAACTCATTTTAACAGCTTGCAATTCGGGCAAGCTGAAGCTAGCATTTACTAGCCCAGACGTCATTTCAACTAGCCCCAAAAGCTGTTTGACGAGCAGAATTGATTTAACAGTTCTTCTGTTATTCGAATTCCACGAAAAACATCACCTGCCCATGGGGCAGGTTAAAAACAGAATTCACTAGCCCGATAACAAAATCCACTAGCCCTGGGCTATCAGACACTACTTTCTTTGCACACTGGAACTAGGTGGTGTCAGCTGAATTGATATGGTCAATTTCAATGTCAGTAATATAAATATCTCATCAACATGTTAGACTTTCTCTAAGCCTGTTTCTGGTACGTTTCTGCTGGTTAGGTGATCGGTTATGTTGTTTGTCTTATGACTCCCTGACTCACTTTCGCTAGCTGCGACCATCCGTCGCAGTGTCCCTTGTGCCTTTTGGGAAGTTTACATAGCTGTCTGTATGTATGGTCATCAGGTCCTCAGTTTTTGTGCTAAAAATTGATGGATTCTTACATTCTTACGTCTTGTACTCATGGCAAAATTTCGAGAAATAACGTAACAGAAAAAAGTTACTTGAAAAACAACCTCAGTCAGGTTTCTTGATTGCTAGAGTTGCTGTTTGATTGCTACAATTACTATACCATAGAGGGACAATTTTTTCTGTGATTTAGCTAATATAGCTTCTAAATGTTCATGTGCATTTCAAAATTCATTTCTTCCTTGCAGCTTCCATTTGAATCATCTAACTCCCAACAAAACCATGAAAGCACAGATCACATCAAGAAATGCATTGTCAGCCTCAGTGAACATAACTTCACTATGGTGGTGTCAGATCTGGCCAGTTTTATTAAGGAGCCAGCATTTCTGGTGAGTGAGTGAGTTTAACTTGCCCATTTATTCAAGTCTTTTTCCCTTCATAATTCAAGGTTTAATATTAGTCTACTGAGCACATTTACTCAACGCACCATGGAGGGCCGGTCAAATGGGATAGGAACATTCAACCTGCAATCAGCTATTCTTTTTGGGGGGAGAGTGAAAAAGTCAGCAAATGGCCAAGGGAAAAAAAGAACTTTTCCTTTGTCCTTTTCCCCTCGTCCTTCACAGAAAAAGAGCAGAAGGACTGCCTGATTGTAGGGTAAGGAATATTGCCTACTTTATACATGTAGCTATTAGAAATGTGTGCCCCAGCCACAAATTTCTCATACAGGTACATGTAAATGGTAAATTCCCCTGTTCCTCTTGCCATTTCTCTGCCTATACCTGTACAGGTGCTTTGAATACAAGTGAGATCAATGGAGAGCAAGGTGCAGTTGTCAGTAGTAAGCACTGTATTCATAAATTCTGAGAGGCAAAGAGTCACAGACAGCTTACTTGATCTTGGGGCGGAAATATTTCAGCTAATATCTTGTTTTGACCGAAAAGATAAGCTTTTGCAGGCTTAAAGACTCACCCCCCCCTCTCCAAAAAAAAAGACAGTCACATGACTGTCCTTTCTGGTTGCTTTTCTTCGTGGGAATGTCTTCATACACTCAAAACTCAAACTCTCATTTCATTTACTGTATGTGATTGTAACTGTCGACTCTCTTGAAGATGGGCACAGACTTTTTGCCTGGAACAAGGTGTCCATCTTATTGAGATGTCCATTACAAGAGAGTTGACTGTAAA